ACGATGGGGGAGAGGTTGGTCCCAGCAGTTACGGACCAGCCCCCGCCTCTTTGGGGACCCTGCCCATGGCTTCAGGCTCTTCGGCGGCCGGTGGCTCTGGTCCCCCCCGTGGCTTCAGCCCTGGGGAGCAGCTTCGCTGCCCCCCCCCGTGCCTGACGCAGCTGAACGCTGCCGGGCGGCGATGCGCTGCCTGCGCTGCCTGCACGGCCTGCGCTGCCTGCTGGGGTGGCACCGGGTCCAGGACAAAGCGGAGCGCTGTGTCACACCCCGGAGCCGGCGACACCTATGTAGGACATGGATGTCGTGTAAACACCCTATACTGGAAAGACATTGCCCAACTGCAAGCTATCATTAGCTGGTCTCTAATCAGCCCTCCTGATGCCGGGGCTTGGCGGCACACGCAGCTCCCGGGGCAGGCGCTGGCTGTCCTTTCAAGCTGTCGCAGCAGCCCAGCCCGAGTGGAAGCGGTTTTCCAGCCGGAGTGAGCAGGGGTGGCCCGGCGGTGCCGTGGTCCCCAGTCCTCCCTGCCTGCACCCCAGGGAGCCAAATCGCGTCAGCCCCCTCCAGCCCGGCGCTCACCCCGCAGCCTCCAGCTGCCATGCTCCCAGACGAGACCCACCACACCGGTCGGCATCCTCCTGTGCCGGTGCCTGCCGGCTCCGGCAGGTCCCGCAGCTCTGGTTGCTTCCCTCCCATGCCCCAATGTCCCCGTCTGCTCAGCTCGGGTGTCGGGGACACAAAGTGCATTGTGTGGAGCAGCAGCTCCATCCAGCCCTGGTGCCACTCCGTCACTTCATCCCTTCTTGGAAAGGACCGAGTCCTGCCTGGGGACCTCCTGCTCGTCCGTCCCCTGGGCCTCAGCAGCTGCCCTCCAGGCACGAGGTTTTGGGGTGTAGGCAAGGTCCCTGCATCTCTCCCGGGCCCCTGGTGTCTGCACGGTGGGTGCCACGCAGAAGCGGGGCTGTGTGGTGGCCCCAGTGCCCCCTCCAGATGGGCTCTGTCCTACCTGCTGGCTCCCCACAGGCACTGGTCCTCCTCCTCCTTCTCCTCCCGCCGCCTCTCAGCCAGGATGAGCAGCCGAGGCAAGTGCCCAATTTAAATCCTCCCCTTCCCCGCCCCTGGGGATGACACGGTGGCCCTGCCCTGTGCCGAAACACAGGAGCACGGCTGAAATACCGACATCCCACCACCGCAGCACAGAGTCATGGCAGCCCCGGCCCCGGGAGCCTAGGAGGGGTGGCAGGACTGGGGCACAGTGACCGGCGCTGGTGGAGACGTGGGGCACGTCTCTCACCGGAGCTTGGGTGAGCGATGGCTGTGGAGGCACCGTGGGGCTTCTGGACTCTCTGCCATCACCTTCTCCTGACAGGTGCCCAGCACGACTCCTCATGGACTGTCCTGCCCGTGGTCCCGGCTGCCATGGAGGTCTCCATGGGCTTGTTCCATCTACCTTTGCCCTGGCTGAGCCCCTTGCTGCAGCCACCCTCCCGCGGCTCCCCCCGCGTCCCAGCGGGACAGACCGAGCCGGTCCCTCGCTGCGGCCGTGCCCGGGACCCTGTAGGCACTGGAGCGGTGGTGACTGCTGGTGTCGTTCGCAGTGCGCAGAGCGGGTGCTCAGTGCGCGGGGTGGAGAGCTGTCAGGCTCCCGGTGAGCAGGGAGGGCCAGTGCCGTGCCGTGGCCAGCGTCTGCCCGGGAGCTCGGGGCACTCGATCAACCGCTCGCTGCGGAGGGCTTGCGCTGTCCGTCCGGCTGGCAGAGGCAGGCTGGTGGCTCTGCCCAACTTTGGCCT